ACTACTCTCGTCGTCGTCTCTCTCTCTCTCTCTCTCTCTCTCTCTCTCTCTCTCTCTCCGTGACATCTTTTCATTCGAGTATGTATCCGATATAAACGCAGTCGCGGAATGCACAAGGCGAGAGAATCGGGCACAGCCATCTTTCATACTTTGACTTCCGGCGAGATGAGTATGAGGTATCGCTTTGCATGCCGCCGTCTAGTTTTCAGATGGAGACGGATGATGGATCTGCCGGGGCTGTTTTATGATTACGTGCCCGACGATCTTTCGCTGTTTCCTCGGCGTTACGACGGCGCTGGCTCCTATTTCGCGCGTCAGCTCAGCCGTTGTCTCGTGATACGTGCCCGAGGTATAATGAATAATCCTCAAGGTATACGCGTACGCGTTATGTAATACCGAGGAAAGGACCGCCGCGCGCTAATATAGGATAACAAAAGCGTAAGAACTAAGAAAGATTCACGATAGAGAAGCAGCTTCGAGATTGCTACATTGTTAACCGATCGATACGTCTCGAGCTATTTGGGAACTAATCTCCATTCTGATGCCGGCGTTCTAAGGAGGTTTAACTCGGTCTCGATTTAAGCCGGCATCGCGGGCATTGCGCGCTGCCGAGAAGGATCTCAAAATTTACCAACTCACAATTACGATGCATCGTCGATAATCGGTGGTATCTCTCTAATGATCGCTCTAATCAGGGAGAATCCACTTACTTATCTTGACCCGCGAGTTCTCGCGGGAGCCACTGCGCAGGACTGCAAATCCTCTCCAAGGAATTAGCGGTGTCCAGCATCCCGCTCTCCGGCGAGCCGTCGAATATCTCGATCGCCGACTGACAGGACTGCGCGCTGTAAAATCGATAACGGGAACCTGTATCTATCAATGGGTTTTATGACGGGCTTCACACACGTTGTCAAAAATATCAACTGCAAATTCTCGCGTAGAGAATATGAAGGATAAGGCGATCTATAACGCGCTTTTTACAGAAACGAAAAAAAAAAATCATTTCAGCTTTTAAAAAGGATGTGCATACACGTTGAACATGCTGCTACGCCGATTTGCTCGCTTGTCAATTCTTTTTTTTTTCAATCCGTAAAAAGATCGAAACCTTTCGGGGACGTTATACGTCCGATATTTGTCCCGGGACAAATCCGTAAATGTATCATCGGGAAAACCAAAATATTCGAGTGCCCATTCCGTTTCCCATTCGCTTTAATCGCCTCACAGACGCGCCGCGTCTGCGGAAAGGAAGCTGCAAATCCGACACGGATGCCGCTATTACGCGCGCATGAAAACAGGAAGAGAAATACACGGGGTTTTGGGTTGGCGGGTGAGAGACGCGCGATATTCCCCGTGCTCGGAGATACTTTCTCGGTTCACCTGGCGCTCGGATTTACAATATTCCGTTCAAAATTCATGCTATCTTCAATAAAGCCCTCCGTTCCGCGTCTCGTAAGCGAACACGCACACCCTCTACCAGTTTATATTAGCGGTTATATCCGCGGTCTTGGAGAACGACAGGTTTCGTATGCGATACGGAGAGGGTTGTCGGAGATACGAGTTGTCGTCGTCGTCGTTGTCGTCGTCGGTTCCGGGGGTGATTCTATCTCTCCCCCGCGGTGTGTTCCGTCTCCCCGGACGCGTACATAACACATCTCCGAAGGCGCGGATACGCGTTCCTCGTGTCGCCGGTGTTGCACGCGTATGATAATTGAAAATCCCCGGGATGCGGACGCGACCTCCTGTGTACCTCCGCGTGATTTAATGCTACTTTCCGCAAGACTACGCGCCGCGACGAGCCTCGGGGGGTGGTTTCCTCCTCCGCCCTCTCCCGGGTGTCGTTTCGATAAGTTACGCAAGTCGCTGCTAACTGTGAAATAAGAGCCCCGCGCCCAGACATAACGGCGCGCGATTGCGAAATAACAGTTCTTTGTAACAGTTCCGTGTATCTTTAGACGTTTCGAGGCTCCGCGAACACTTCGCGAACACTCAGACTTCGAAATATTAATCAACGTCGACGCGTTTCCGCGATTTACGAGTTTGCCTATTGATATTACTTCAAGGGACGAGAGCGCACGCGTCGTAAATTACGACGCCTACCTGACTCGCTAACCAATGCTACAAACCGTCGTCGATTGTTTTTACAATCATCACGAATTCAATGTTACGTGCGTAACGTGTCGCGGGATTTGCAGGTATTGGCAAACGCCTAACACGATCGAAAGTGATGTACAAACGCGACATGCAATTCAAGCACCATGACAGATCGCGTCGGGGCGTCGTGTTATGTGACCGCAGTTTTCCCTGGCCTTTGGGTCCGTGCGATCTAGGGTGGAGAAAACACGTCGATAGAACGCGAAGAAAATGCGAGGAGACAGAAGAGGGTACGGTTTTCTCGTTTTTTTAAAACTACGGTTGTACATGTGTCTCGATGTGTGACTTGCTAGACCGTGACAGTCGGGCGAAACCGAGTTACCTGAGGTTGTAACTGGCTAGGGAAACGTGTCCGGTGTCGTAAGTACGGCCACGCAGCACGAGCCTGCACGTTGTGGACTTGGGCTTCCCCCTGGTGTCGTGGTGACCCGCCCGGACCTTCTCACCGTTCACCTCGAGGTCGCAGCTGCTGGTCACGGCGCCCTGATCCTTGCGGTGGTCATGGAGGTCACGATTGTTATAACTGCCGGACTTCATCATTTCGACTGGAAGATCAGAGAGCTAGGTGAATTTCAATGATAATTTACTATCCTATGGTAAAAAGTTAAAACAGGAACGAAAAATACGAATTAAATATCCAATTAATATAAGTTAACCTTTCGTGATCATTGTAACATTAAAATTTAATTTTAATGTTAAAATTAAATATTTTACTAGAACATTATTGTTTTATTTTTTAAAGGTTCGAATTATATACTGTAATTTTTAAAATTAATTAATACTGTTGATTCGATAACACTTTAAAAACGGTAACGGCGTAAGTGTAAATTTTATAAAGTGACCATGAAGAGAATATTAAATATCTAATTAATATAAATTAAATAAAAATATAAATTAAATGAAATACAGCAAGAATGATTTACTTTTAATTTTACTTTTAAATCTCAACATTATTTTTTAATCGAGAAGAGATACATTAGAATTGTGTAAGCGTAATATCAAACTAATTGGAATGGTGATCAATACCAAGGATGTGCGGACGGACATTTCCCTCTCATTACTTACCACTTTTATTCATGCTGTCGATAGCGATCGTCGTTGGAACTTCCGTCGTCATTTCTATAAAAGTCAGCGTTGCAACGAAGCCGTTATAATCGAAGGGCGGTACTTCCGGACCAGTTCTGTAAAATAATTCCAACTTTCTTCTAAGGGCACAAAGATAAGACATCTAAATTGACTGAAAACTTGAAATTTTATCTCGTCTTTTCTCTCGATAAAAAGATATATTCCTCACCTGAACTCGACGAGGAGCTCTTGGCCGTCGTATATCAGCGACGTTTTCTGTTTGTCACAGAGCATTTTTAACAACGGGCTTGACGTCGTCGGGCCTGAATAGACGGCAATGTAGTCGCTGGTGCAGTGACTGCAATGAAAACACAAGTATTTTCTTATAACGTGACTATGTGTTTGAGGCAATTCGAGAACTTCGGTGCTCGCTTCGTCTTTCGCACCAGGATAAACGCCGGTATAAGCGAGAGGTGGATGGGGAAAATGGAGCGGATAGGGTATGGGGTAGCAGACTATCGAAAACGGTCGAGAATCGTGTACCGATTTATCAGGGAGTTCACGAGGATGAACTCGATTCGAGGGGGGAGGCCGTGGAAGTTTCGCCATTAAGAAAATATCCAATATTACCGGCAAGACAGAAGCGGCTGCGCCGAATTACCGCGATGGGATGGCGTGATTTATTTTACGAGGGAACTTCATCGCCCTACGCTTCGCAGGGACGATCCCTCACAGCTGGGATCACGAAAATGCGATTTTAATAATGTGGCCAATTAGGGGTCATCGCGTGGCTTTGCGGAGGAGATCGGTCGTGCCTCCGGATCACCCTGTAGACGAGAGATGATTAAAAGTAGACCCTTCGCAATTATCGCCGGCAGTATTACGCACTCTGTTATTGACAAATAATCAGATTAAAAGTAATTGCTGTCAGTCGTCGAAGCTTTGACTCAAGCATTACTTAATATCCGTGATCGAAAAGTATTCTCAGAATTCTATAAACGAAAATTGCAAATCGTTGCGAATATTATTTTGTATCACAGCGTGAAAAGTTGAAACGATCGATAAGTTTTAATAAAATTAAATTTTTATTTTTATTGTAATTTTTATACTTAAGCTGCATTATTAGTCCGAAGATTGTAACGCCGGAGAGTGAGTCCTTCTTAAAATTTAAATACGAATGCAAATGAATTTTATGCTGAATATTAATCAGAATATAGCTCTTGGTTCATCATCATTATTATTACAATCGAGTCGGTGCTGCGAGCGCGACGATGTAAAATATTCGATAGTAGTATTCGCCAAGATTCTGAAGGAGCCGTTCTAAACACGTAACAGGTGCTTCACGAACTTTTCTCATAATTCTAATTAATTACCTCGAAGTACGAGCGTGAAGAAATTAATGGGAAAACTTCGTTGCTCACAGTTCGATTTTGCCAGCTGAATTTTGCAGTTAAAATGAAATTCCATGTTTCAAAGTCTCGCTATCTCATCTCAGACATACTATCCTGGACTACCGTCATTGACCGTTCTTTTCCACCAAGATGCACGATACTTAACGTTAATCGCGTGCAGCATGGATTACCATTGACCGTTCTTTTCCACCAAGATGCACGATACTTAACGTTAATCGCGTGCAGCATGGATTGTGATGGATCAATTACGATATATATTGCACGCGATTAGCTCATCAATCTCGATCTGACAATCTTTACATCGTGTATAATTTCTTCGTATTATATATCCCTATCCATCATCTTACCAGATTTATTGCTTGCTTTCTTGTTCAGATTTATTTCATCAAATTCATTTCTTATCGATATTTTTACAGTAAAATTTTTCTTTAGGATCGAAATATAGTTCTTATCTTAGCGTATTAAAACCAGGACTCTCTCTCTCTCTCCT